CCCGGTAACTCGCCATCTTCCTCTTCGTCATCGGCAGCCACGGATTGGGGAGGAGGGGATGAGGAGACATCCCGACTCGGGCGCTGCGGTGGAGCCACTGGGGGGGCTTTTGAGGCCGAAGCCTGAATGGCACGGGCCAGTCTCATAGTCTGCCTGCCCCTTTCTGGAGTCTCCAATACTGGAGAAGTCTCCTGTCTTGCCATCACAGTTGTCAAGGTCGTGACCGACGGGAAAAGCTCCTGTCTGGCTGTCACATGTCGAACTGGTGCCTCGATCACCGTGTCCACCGAGATCACCGGGGACTCGGGTTGTTCCGAAGGCAATTCCGGCAGAGGTTGTGGCTCCTGAGCAGGCTGTGGGGCCGGCTGGGGTTCAGCAGGCTGCAACGGCGATGACCTCGCCGACGAGGTGGCCGAGGAGGCGGTGGTCTGCTTTCGGGAAGAAGAAGAAGACGAGGATGGAGGCGGCATCGTCTTCTTCTTCTTTGCCGGCGGCTGAGCTGTCTTCGACACAGACTTGCCCGGGGTGGGCGGGACGGAGGATGAGGTGGAAGCACGCCGAGATTCTTCTTGAGACCGGCGAAAGGCAATGCGAACCGCCGTGGAAGATGGCGGAGTCGCCGATGTCGACCTCGTGGACCTGATCGATCTCACCGACGCCACTGAGCTGGTCGAAGAGTGCCGGATGCGTACGGTCTCGGTCGTGACCATGCATGGAGCTTTTTGCTTCGTAGGCTTTGTAGCCTTGGAAGCTGTCGACACCGAGGCCTTAGAAGTTGTCGACATAGCTGTTCTCGGCCTTTTCTGCGCAGCCTTCTTCGCCCTTGTCTGGCGAGGCTCGGTCTCCGTCGAGGGATCGACAGATTTTGATGTCGATGCTCCCTTCGACGTCGAAGCTGATGTCGAAGGCCTGGATACCGCAGCTGACGTCGACGCCGATGTCGATGTTGAAGGTACCGGAGCCAACGTCTGCTGGTACAGAAGGTATCGAAGCCGATGGACCCGGTTCTTACGGGACTGTGCCGTCAACGATTGACAATGACGACACGAAGAAGTAATGTGTGCCTCTCCGAGACACAAAAGGCAAAGAGCGTGCTTGTCCGAATCAGGGATCTTCTTCGGACAATTCGCGCATCTTTTGAAGCGAGTTGTTGACATAATATTGTCAAACAACTCGAAGAAATCTCTGTAGAGAAACTATCCAACTAGAAGTACCGAAGCGAGCCGTGCGGCGGAAAAAAAGGAATTGGATCGGTGTGCGCGGGGCGCCCTTGTATCCCCTGCCGGGGCTGGGCGGGGTTACCGCCAAAACTTGAAAAGTTTTAAAATGTAGAAGTTTCCGTTGGAGCCCGCGCAGGCGCAGTCTCTCCACAAGTGTGCATTCGCAGAGACCACGAAGAAAAATTGCAATTTAACACCATAAGTCATTCTGGTATTAAATTGCAATCTGATCCCTTGGGACTACTACCCCCAGAATTTAGGCTTAATCAATTTTTTGTGGTGTATGATTTTGTGTCCTTGAACCATATTATGAGATGTATTTCATTAAATAGATCTTAGTCCCTAAAGATTAATACTGGATTTTTAAAATGTTAACTCTTCACGGGACTATAAAAACTTCTTAAACATACTGCCTTGAGACAAGCATGGATTTTATGGTCTGTAAACAAAAAGCCAACTATCAGTAATGACTGAAGCAATGATAATAAATGAGTTCCCTTGACTATTTCCTTTCCCCTGAAATTTTGGAAGTAGCAAAAGGAGGCCAAATTTACATAGTTCTGTGATACATCTACAGTGCCAAAATCCGTCTGCTTTTTACCATCTTGTGTACAAATTAGAATTCAAAGGATGATGAATCTACAACTCACACATATTGTTGGATTAAAAGGCCAGACTACTTTTGGAATTTACATTGTAAAACACTTGTTGCAGCAGCAGGGTGAAAAAGGAGAAAATCTCTCCAGTACCAAAGACCTTGGCACTAGCTTGCTATAACTCTTGAGTAGCTCAATAGCTGGTGGGTCAGTTTTTTCCTGAATGAGAAAACATTTCATGTTATCCTCTGACTGTCTCTTTACTACCCAAGACCTTTCATACCAGTCACTGTGTCATTATCGTTAGAGTAAAAATAATTTGAAATATAATGTAAAAACATAATAAAATAGTACCAATATTAAATCACCAATTGCACACACACAAACCAATTCTATAACTAAAAAGTACAATTCAAATACCTGCCCAAATAAAAATGTTTTCACTTGTAGCAAATGCTGTGATGGGAGTTGAGTCAGATCTCTGGAAGACCATAGGTTCAACATACATGGCTTTGAAAGGAAGATGAAGTTTGCTTCAAGAAATTAAGGAGATGTTCAGAGACAGACAGGCAGAAGAAGACAAAAGACTTATCACTTGAAAGTGAAAATTGAGTTTGTCTGAATTACCTACGCAGCATGCATCAATGTGCTTCAAAGATCTTGAGCTATTTTTCCTGCCTTTGTTATAAAAATATTTCATGACCTTTCTTTCCTTTTCACACTTACTTGTAGATGCCGATTTTCTTTATCCAGTCATGTGAAGATAAAGGAATACAGCCACTGACCTGACATGCAACCTCTGATAACTATGATGTATCAGCTTTCAGAATTGAAAAAAGAAATGGCAAACCTCCTGGCTCCGCTTAAACTTTAGGTTGCTCCTGCCTCCTTTTATATTAACAGCGGTAGTTTTTAAATAACATCTTGATACCCCGTGTATAACAATATATTTTTCTATCGCTTCAGTAAATTTATGAGATGATGGAATTATTTCCTTATGCTTGTATTTGAAATAACAGATGCACACAAACATTAGCCACAGATCCATTTACTGTTACACAAAGCAAGCTGGATATATTAATTCAACTACAAAGGTTTATAAAGAAAAGAAACAAATGGGCTCTCCCATACCTTCCTTGAATTAAGGTGCATTTACAGCAGGCATGGGCAAACTTTGGCCCTCCAGGTGTTTTGGACTAATCCCTAACCTGGCTGGGATTTCTGGGTCCAAAACACCCGGAGGACTGAAGTTTGCTTATGCCTGATCTACACTGTATTATGAATGCAATTTGATACTGCTTGAACTGCCATGGCTCAATGCTGTGAGATCATAGGTATTGTAGTTTGGTTAGGCACCAGCACTAGGTGTTAGAGAAGGGCAAACACCTTGTAAATCAATTACTCCCCTTATTCTATTGCACTGGGGGTGCAATAGAATCAGGGAAGTATGCTATGGAACCATGAGAGTTATAGTGTTACAAAGTTTTTGGCCAAAAAGAGTTCTGGTGCCTCCCTGAACTGCAGATCCTATGATTCCGTAACATTGAGCCAAGGCAATTAAAGTGATGTCAAAATTGCATTCATTCTATAGTGCTGATTGAATCCTTAGAAATTTAATTCTAAAGATTGTGGAAAAGGTAGTTTTATTAAGGTCTGGAGGATAATGGGAACAGTTTTCCTCTTAATGACTTTGGACATTGTATGCCAAGTATGTTGTGGAGAAAGAACTGGTTAGTATGGGTTTTTAGGAAGTGGAACCCAGAAGCAATTGGTGAAAGTGGGGAGAAATTGTCATGGGTAACATTTAGACAGCCCATGACATAGAACAAGTTGTCTTTGTTGAGATTTGTCAGGAACAATAAATGCTGAGCTTCTTTCTCTGCTGCCGGAAATGGATTTCTCTTTTATCTCTCTGTTGCTAGTATGCACTGCTCCAAAAACTGCATTTCACTGCCAAAGTCATCAAAACCATTCCAACACCTGGGGGGAGGGGGGGGATAGGTTGCTCAACTCCTGCTCCAAATCATAATTTGAACCCATGATGGGTAGGAGATTATGAGTATTGTAGATAGGCCACATGCTGTGTAAAATGGCATCCTTTCTTTACATACAAGAAGATGTGGATTTCAATGGAAACGGGGAAAAACTACAAAAGTTCACCTCATTTGAGCTAGGCTTTAAGGGCTTCTGAGCCTGGCTTGGGATAAATTCACCAGCATCCCTAAATGAAAAAGACTAATAGGTTATATGATATCCTTCATGCCATTACTGGCCAAGCCTTATTCTATGCTGTGCTATATTTTAACACAGAGAAAACCACATGAATTTTTGGCCTGATTTGGACATATGTTGTATTATATAGTGCACCATACACAAGTAGCAAAAAAAGAAGTGCCACACAAGGCTCACAAAAGGGCACATTGTCAGTTTTGACTTTTCTTCATTTCTTAATTTTCCAATATTTGGATTGTTTCATTTCATTTCATCTCAGTTTGACAGGTTTTTAATGACCATATGGAAATGTATGTAATGCAGATACCTTTTAACATCTGAATCTCTGCTGCACTTTACCTCCAATATGCAGTACTGCAATCATTTTTAATCTAGTGTGTGTGTGTGTGTGTTATTCTCACCAGAAAATACATTTTTGTGTGCACTTTCCCCATTTTAATGCAACCATTTATTAAAAAACTTCACCAAAAAACTAACTTCATTTAAAACTAACTTCATTTTTGTTCATGTATTGGTTCAAGAAGCATGAATTAGATAGGCTCTCATTAAGATGTGAACCAAATACATTGCTCTTCCATCTTTATCTGCATCCCTCCTAGTTTTGTTGCAATGTTGTCAACACTATATGACAGTAAGCTGGTGGAACAGAACTGGACTGTTTTGCTTCACTTGTCTGGTGAATGCTATAGCAGATCCACTGCTATTGAAAAACCAACATAAACTTAAATGATGATTTGAAATACTGACACAAAGGACCACTGGAGCACAGTTGTGCAAAATGGGTATATGACAGGCCAATGTTACTCATGGCAACAGATTTCACTGTTTCTCCTCTCCTTTCTTTTCTTGTGTCAACATCCCTGCCTCAAGTATCTTTTAGCTGTGACCACTATGTTCTGTTATCAGCTCTTTTGTCATGCGTTTAGGACATCATTCAAAACATTCACAGAACTTTTTAATTTTTCAAAAGTTTTATTGTTAAGTTTGAAGACTAGACGAGGTCATACTGTTTTAACATCATTCTACATAATTTAAATATATACAAAAACATTGGAACTTTACACAGGTTGCCAAGGTTGCAAAGGTCATTGTGTCTGAGATATTTCTGTACTTACTAACACATCTGAAGCCAGCTTTGAATATTATATTTCATAGTTTGTGGTATAACACAGATACACTCATCAGTATCCTTAGTCTTCAAAACTCACATGAATTTGTATGAGTTCATTCCAAAAGAGAAAGTCAACCTAAAAACCAGAACTGGGGTGTATTTTTGTTTTTTTGTTTTTTGTGAGAAGCCCTTAATAGATTATCCTAGATAAGCCTTGTGCATTATGTTTTACTTTCCAGGCTATAAAAGTAGCAAATTAGGGAGCTATAGAAAGGTGAAAGTTGCCTCCAAATAACTAAAAATTTTTGGGTAGACATAGGTGGATCTCCCTCTCTCTCACTTCAATTCTTTCACCGTTAGTGTGAATACAAAAGTCAAGGGCAATTTCATCATATTTCCATCCAAAATTTCAAGGAACAATCCTTCAAGCCACTTCATTTTAAACCAAGAGATGATTCAGGAATAGCTGGCTTGAAGGCTGTGGCTCTAAAGAAATCAACATGCAGAATCTAAATGCAAATAAGTAGTAAATCTCAACATCCATGTGCTTCCATGGAACTGTCGTAATGAAGCATACTGTAGTTTTTTCATTGCACTTGGGCAAGTTCATACGTGATCCTGGCTAGCATTTACTTACTGTGAGTTGTGTGGTGCTAAGGAGAGTCTTGCTTGCACACTCTTGCATGTTCAGCACATTGACTACTCTCTGTAGTCCTTTCAGATATTTAGTGAAAACACAAGGGAAGAGAAATAGGATTGCAATTGCTATCCTCATTTCGTTATTGCACATATTTATTCAAAGTTCTGAATATGCATCCAGGTCTTATTTCTGTTGGTTCCTTCAGTGTAATTAGGAAACTTGAAAATGACTGGTTCCCCCATTGCACAGACAAGAGATCGTATGTGTTGTGTTCAGATCTTTGAATAAATGTATGAATGTTAGGAATGGCAATAAGTCTGAACCTGTTTCTCCCCTCTCCAAAATTCACTGAATGTCTGAAAAAACTTACACACATGTACTTACAAAAAATGAAAAAGAGGTGTGTAGATGATGTAGGGAGATAAAACATTTTTAAGAGACACATGGAAGTTAGAAACACTCCACAAACTTCTGAGGAGAAATGTAACCCAATAATTTGCTCCTGATTTTGCAATATTCACACTATAATAGGTGAGGAGCATCTCTGTTATTGTTACTTGTACTTTAGAACTAAAACTTACAATCATGAGTCTCCAACCACTTAGCTTAGAATACTGGCTGCTGAATAGACAAAGTCCCACTGAAGTGCAAGCATTTCCACCTAAACAGTTCGTAGGTCACAACCACATCTAATATATGTACATCTGTATAATGTAGTTCCATTTCGATAAGATGTAATATGTAGACTTAGGACTGACCTGAACACACACATATATATACCACACAGTGGCTGAACTACCCAAACACTCAATGACTCACAGCTGAATGTGTGGAACTTCCTGAATTATAAAGTATTGTGTCTGAGGTGGTCAATCTGAAAATTTCAATTTGGGGTGTTTGATCAATGATGGCTGCATCATACACTCCAGTCATTGCCTGATAATGACTGTGCAAGTGTATACCCTCTCTTGGTAGAAAATTCATCCTGTAGCATGAAGAGACTTTACACAAAGACAAGAGGAATCAAAGAAAAGTGTTTTGTAGCACTAAGAGTCAACGTAGGCAGTCTCCAAAGGACACAATCAACAGTTCTTTGTAAACCTCTCTGGGGGTTAAATAGTCATGCCCTTAATTGTGTGAAAACAATAAATCTACATGCACTTTTAATGCTAATTGCAGCCACTGAATTGTGGGAGAAAGGGTCAAGTCGGATTATTTTAAACTCTTTCCTTCACTGCCACAAATTTTCACAAGCTTCCATTTCATGTCATTAAAAAAAACTCTCACTGGTGTGAATGACAGTTTTTGTCAGGATCATGACAAGAGAGAGAAAAATAATTTTGCCTTCCTAAAATCTGGAAGTTACCCAGCTTTTTCCAGAGTTATAATTTAAATACAAAAAATACATTAATTGCAATCACACAATTCATTTCCCATCCAGCTTGACTTGAAATGAAATGACAGGATGGTCTTGTTCAGTTACCAGTCCTATTTATTTCAACAAAGTGTGCAGAAAAGAACTTCCCACTGAATTGTGGCCATAGTTACTAAACAAATGTCAGAGACATTTCTTAACATTTTAAATGACGTAATTGGAGCAAAGTGTGATAGAAAGTCTAAAGGAGTCATTTTAAAATTCAGGCTCATAATGAACAAATTGGTAAAGGCTGACAAAAATGAACTATTGAAAAGGTGGAGATACAACCATTTTAAATAAAAGAATAATAAATGTAAATGACTATTTTCCCAACACGATGCTATTTTAATGTTCTATAAACTACAATGCATATGTGTTAATTGCACATTCAAGATTTTGTTTAAATATATTTCTTCTAAAAAGGAAAAAAAAGTACTAACAAATATGGAACATTTCAGAAGAATATACTGGCTATCAGCTCAAAGTGCTCCATTCAGTCACACTCCTTTTGCTGAAATGGTGTTAGCAGTAGCCGAAGTCACCGGTGCATAGCCAGATAAAAAAATCAGCCGGGGGGAGGGGGGGGGAAGGGGTTGAAAAAAAAGCGAATCATGAACAGTAGTTCCATAAAACAAAATAATTTAAATAGTATGGTTAATTCTATATTTTATATAGACTTAATTAAATTTAATGTTTGCTTCTCATAGAATTAGCATAGGGATTTGATTAACCAGAAAAAAATTAGTAGGGGGGTTGAACCCCTAACACCCCCCCCCCTCCTCCGCTACAGCCCTGGAGGTCACCCAGGAGCCAAAACATGGATTACCTTTAGTGTCTTATTTGCAGAAAACCTATTAGGGGGAGGTTTATAGTCCCCAAGACATTTATGTTATCTTGACCTTCTGCAAACAGAGAAAGACTTTGGGGGAATTATCCTGGTTCATCTCAGATGACGCTTTCTGGATTATGACCCACCTATGCACAGGGGATGTTCTGTCTGCAGATTCTCTTGCTGTCCTGTGATGACAGTACCAACAGATAGCTGTCACGAACAGCATCTATTCCCCATTCAGCACTGAAAATCTGACACTGTTGACAATATTTTGAGTGGGTCATCTGTAGGTTTGGTTTCCAAGTCCCAAATGATTTTGTTGGTTACATACTGTAACAATAAATGTCTGTCAGTGCAAATATTTGGCCCCATTAACTAGGATAAAGGAGTGAAGTCTTTTTACTATATATCTACTTAAAATGTAAAAAACTAGTAACCATCCATTTATTCACTCTAGAGTAGGACCATATAAATATAAAGAGTTGCTGTAGTGTAAATGGGATGTGAATTGCAGCCTCTTCATAGGGAACCTAAGAATATGGGCAATATGAAGTTGAATGTTATTTCAGTTACCAACCTGATTCCATCAGCCATTTGCACCTTAAAATGCAATTATGATTGACTTTCTCTTTAAAATTATTCACTACAATTGAAGACCACTCCATAGATAACATTGTTAAGAAATGTCAACACAGTTACAGACAAGACAGTAACAGTCTAGAGGATTTTGAAATGCAGCACAAATTCAACTAAAAACAAAACAAAACCATAAATTCAACAGTGTTTCACAGAACATTCCTTGCACATACTTGTTTCACTTTGATTAGATTCTCAGACTGAGATCTCTGAATATCTTTGTCTAAGCCTTAGAAAATAAACAAGCACACACATATATCTTGAGAGTTAGGTGCTCATTATGCAAACAGATCTCATTCTTTTACTTGACCAATTTTTCTTCTTTTTGGAGAGATGCTTTCAGAGAACTTCCCTTGATCATGAAAGGTTTTTATCCCAAAGCATTTGAAGGAACTCAGATGACAGTGTTTTTACAGAGAGAACAGATTATATAAGGTTAGTGAGTTACTTTTTTAAAGAAAGAAATTCAGACTCCTCTTTACAATTACTGGATGACACATTGTTCACTAAGATCATAGAGTCCATGCTTATATCTCCATCTTGTTTTCTTTGAATAATAAAACAATGCTTTAATAACGCTTACTATACGTCGTTAATGAGACACAACTCCACTCCCATCTACCATAACATGCAGTGAGCGAAAGAAAATGATAATGATGGATGTTCTTAGTTATGAGAACACATCTATGAATTATAAAGGGAATGGTTAGAGTACTAACACTGTTAAAATGAATGTGCTTTGAATTATTAGATGCAATTACCATCTACTAGTAATTTCTGTTCCAGCAAGAACATTATGTCGGAGAAATTCTATCTATGATGCCAACAGTTAAGTCAGGGATCAAGCAATGGTATTCTTCCAGAAATTGTTGGGCTTCCCTGCATCGTGAGCCATTTGCTAGAGGTAATAGAAGCATCCAACAGCCTGACAGGAGTGTGATAATTCCCATTCCTGTGTTAAACCCTAGCAATGTTTTTATATGCACTTGCCACAGTTTTGGCTGTACAGAATCAGAAATGGGGAGCCATTTATAGATTGTTCTGCCAGTTTATCTGTGCACTAATTTGAGTGGCAAGAGGAACTCAAACTGAGGATGGGTAAAGATGTTATTGTCCCTGAAAACAGTACAATTGTGCATGGAAATGACTGTCTATATGGCTACTCTGATAAACATTGCTTCCTTGGCCCATTCAACTACAGCCTCAGCCTGCCTTGCATTTTCAGATGGGAGATCAGTCAATGTTATGTGGTCAGTGTACAAAAATTATGGCTAATTCAGACTGTCAGATGAAGAGGTTGTTATAAGGTAATATGCTGAACACTTGAGAATATTTGCTTCCCTGCAGACTTTTGCTATGATGTGTATGTAAGCTCCATCAGTGATAGCTGTTCTGTGATAATGGTAAACACAATCAAATCACGTTATTACATGATGGTTATGTGGAATGGTGCTGAAAAACCATCCCCATCACCAGTAGTTCTATCTGTTCAAAATGATAGAAAACTTTGCCGGTATGGAATGCAAGAAGTAGGGGGAAAGTGGGGTATAAGAAAACAATGCCCAAGACAGGATTTGTGGACTGTTTTGCTGCTTGTTTTGTTTTTCCATATTGTAAATTGTTTATCTTCTTGCCCCAGTTGAAACCTATGTGTAAACTATGCTTTACAAATATTTTCAATTCAACAACCCACAAATCCAAACTGTGCTTTGGCTGTCTTGGGTGACAAGGGAATTAGGGGGAGCATTGAAAATCTTGTCCCAATCAGTAGAGATGCTGGAATCTTTGCAATCTTAAGAGCTGGAAACAGGCTCATTTGGAAATAATGCATCATGAAGCTGAATTCTGCATACATTAGCAGATCTTTTTCTCCTTCTTTTAATTTTAACAATTCCTCTTATTTCTACTATTTGAAGGCTGGTCCATAACTCACTCTATACTCTTGCTCCTCTCTCTATCATTTCACACACTCCCATCTTTGATTTTGATGGAACTATCTTCCCAGAATTAGGCATTTTAAGAACATTTGTAGATTTGATTCTTTAAAATAATTTTAGGCAGCATAACATATGCCCATTGCCCACCTAACTTTAGATGTCATAACCCTTGAATCCATAAATGGTTTAGGGAAAGTATGGTCCTTCCTTAAAGAAAGAATATGTATGTTTTCTAATGCAACCCTAGACCTCACAATATTAAATCACAGATGGCTTCTCGAAGAGGCCATTTCCCATCTCTACCTCGTTGAGCAAACAAATGCAGGATTACATGGATGCTGTTCTTGGTAGCATGTATATGTACGTGTCCTGCTACAATAATTTAACTCGGGATTATGGCCCATGGACTTTCATTTCATCATCTTTTATATTGAACATTTTAAGCTGAATTCATCAACAAAACCATCAGCTTTGTAATGAACTAGTGAGCAGATTTTGTGCCATGAAATCCAGTTTGGCTCTTTGAAAGTAAACAGCATAAGTTGATGTGGCAAAATGGAAAGACAGTGATGATGTCACATCATAGTTTTTTTTTGGGGGGGGGGCAAAAGAAATGGAAATGAAACTCAAGAGTGTGTGGACCACAGAATGTGGTAATATCAGGAGGACTGCAGACTACACAAATTCTTTCAAAAAGTGTCATTAATCTTGACAATGCTTGATAGGCACAAGGGAAACAATCAAATGCAGCCATCCCCGAGAAATAACTTATTGCTAAAGCTGCAGTATCATTTTTTTGCAAGTAAGATGATAGTGTGGATTTGGAGAAAACAAACCCACTTGATCTTTCCCAAGTCACAAATGAACTCACGTCATGCAACTTTCATCTTTCTTGCAAAAATGCTGCTCCTTTTCTTTTTTAAAAAATACCGAACCATATTTCAGATAGCATGAAAAACTCAGAAGAAAACTTGAAAGGTAAATTGTGCAGCAAAACAGAGTAATAACTTGAACAGATTTAAAAGAACCATCTTTTTAAAAAATTAGATTTGGACCATTTTGAGGGCAGGCTGAGACCTCCTTACAAAAGACAGTGGCCTACCAGAAAGTGAGCACTTCATGAAAAACCCATTCAACTTCCTACAGGTTTTGCACAGTTTCTTCTATGGAGATTTTTCTTTTCTTTTTTTTCTTTTTTAGGAATATTGAGAATTGTGCTGTTAAGTGAAGATCCTTGTCAGTCCTCTTCTGTACAGCCCAAGAGCTCTGACCGTAAAGTGATCCTGCCATACCACGACCAAGGGAGGATCCTTATGTGCCTTGCATAGATTGGAGGGTCAATGACATTCTTTCTGTGAGTGTCATTGTCAAAGTTTCCCTGGAAAACCTGAAAGATGGAAGAAGAATTAGTTATAGCAAAATAGCACAGGAAACCTGGACAAAACAAAGATGGAAGAAAATCTGCGGGAAAACCTCCCAGAAAGATTGATGCTGCTATCTGCACAGCTTGGGAAAATATTTTTTGAAACTGCAACTTCCAGGATGCTGTCTGTGGGTTCTGGGAGATATAATCCACAAAAGCAATTGCCCCAAACTCAGTATCAGATGAGCTGTTGTCAAAAAAGACTGGATGTCTCCAAATGGGATGGATACTATTTTTTATATTGTTTTCACTTGGAAAAAAGTACATGTTTACTAAAATAAATAAATTATTAAATTTATTTCTTAGGGAATAAATTCCATTGAACTGAAGGAGACTCCAATCTAAGTAGATTATGATTAAAGTCATTAAGCACACAAACTGATCCCAACAATGCCATTCCTTTTGTTTCTTGCAGTGGTGTTTCAACAATCCACCATCAAGGCATGTTTTTACAATTATTTTTATCCATATTTGAACATTTCACTCTAAAATATAGCAGCCTATTTTACAATTATTAAATAAATAATTAAACAAATTATTGTGGGGGAGAAGAAAATTGCTTTGGTTAAAAGTTCACCTGCTTGAGACTGTTAACAATATTATTATTTTTTTGCTCTTATGAATGATCAAGCAATACTGCTATAAGGGTCTCATAGAAATTATATTCATCCTTAAATCCATGGGCAGGAATAAAATGGGAATGGCAGGATAATCGTTTAAGGATGGGAATGACAATGGAGACTGTTCCCTGCTGTGGAATGTTTTACAACTTATGAAATTAAAATATCTCTTAATGGTATTTTTGGTCACAGTTTACCATAGCAGACAATATGAACAAAATTATTATTTTATGTACTTTTGAAATGCTGGGATTATTTTTATCACTATCATGCAGCTTGGAAATGTATCATTTTTCTTTTTAAATACTCATAAATGAAATGCCACTTCTCCCAAATAAATGTCAGCCAACAAGGTAATGGTTCTGAACAGTGAATAAGACATCCTAAACATAACTGTCCAAATGATATGCAAGGTATATTTTAAGGTGCATTTGTTCAGGTAGGATAAGCTAATATGCAGATCCATAATGCATTTCTTTTGGACTTTGCCAGATGATTATTTCATTCTGTAAACATTCTGCACAGCAATTATACAAGAATGTCCACTTATGCATTGCCAAAAAAGAAAAAGAGGCATTCTAAAAAAAAGGTATTAAATGAGGACACAGATCTGTAAACCATCCCGAGTCGCCTGCGCGCTGAGAGGGACGGTATATAAATATAGTAAATAAATAAATAAATCTGCATGAAATTTGTGCATGCACATTTACAAAGACAGAAGCAAATTTAGACATGACTATGGTTCAAATATAATTCTAAGTTATTTGAACCACAGAGATTGTGACAAGATGGCTGATGTACCTATTTAGATGGCTGTCCAGGTGATAGAATAAAAAAAACTTAGAGACAGACGGGGTTCAAGGCCCACCTAGTCAAACCCTCTATCAGGCAGAAATATTTTACTAAAGCACTTCTGAAAGATACATGTATAGCCTCCAAAGATGAAGAGTCTACTACTTTATTCCATAGTTAAATGGTTTCTACAGTAAAGAAATTCCCTGTAGTATTTAAATGAAATGCTTAGACTATTTTGGTATTTTCTGGACATGTTCTAGCTCGTCAGAATTCTTCTTAAACTGAGGTGTCCAGAACATATTCCTGCTGAAGTATGACCGGATCTCTGTTGCCTATTGCTTTTACTATTTTTTTTTCAACTTGAAATTCATCACCAAGATTTTTAATGCAGGGTTATGTACATTTATTTCAACTGGAAAAGTCTTCCAGTTTCATTTGTGGTTCCCCTCTCTCATGACAACGCAACCGTTTCCTTTTTCTGTGGCTCCAACTGCACAATGCAACTGCAGTTGCTGCTTCCTGAGTTCCATCAACTTCCTCATATTTTTGAAAACACGTTATTAAAAGATGGAAATGCATTCAGTTTACAAATTAAACAAATTAATATTACCTAGGCCAAGGTAACATATTTCAGTTGGGGGACCTACTAGAAATGGATAGCTTTGGCTTCAAACATTTTTTTTTAAAAGCAGAATCCTATGTTGAAATTTGTGAGTGGCCAAAGGTCATAAATCTAATACTGAAGTTGAATATATTTCATTCAAATGTGAACTGAAGTTGAATGCATTTTCATTTAAATGGTAATAGGCAATGGCATAATTCTAAGACTATAGGGAACCCACCATGCTCGGCCATAATATGGATGAATCTTATGCCAGGTATTCTTTGCAGTCATATACTTCTGTTCTTGTGCAGCTGACTCTATTAGTTCCTATTAAGGAGCTAGGTATCCAAAAACACAGTTGTAGTGGTCTTCTACTTGAATAACAAAGCACATAGAGACTTTTTTTCTTTCCCAAATAAGCAGGGGGGCTTTTCTTTCTCCTTTGTTGCAGCAGCATCCAATATATATATAAAATATACCAACTTTACAGCTTCTTCTTCCTCACTTCTCACAGCAGTAATTCTCTAACACACTCACCAAACCATCCATCGCTCAACAACTTTAATGAACTCTCATCACACTTTCTCTGTAGAACTACAACCTATATATACTACTCCCATTGCATTAACCACCACACCCTAATTAAAGTGGCTTAACTCTTTTACAGGTGGTTAGGCCAGAAGTATTAATTCTGCTGTCATTTAGAAAATGCCAGATAGTTTCTAAATCCTGACATATTATACCTATGAATATTACAACATGGAAATGTAATTAGAACTCTGATTTTGTTTTCATTATTTATTTGCCCCAACTGTATTCTCCCTCTTCATCGCTATGATACTTCATCTTGTTGACGGGAAGCTTCCCATCAGAGTGGAAATCATCTATTGGACAGATGACAAGCTATTTAACCTCAGCAGACTGAAAGCCAAAACCAAGGTTACAACAACATCTGTTATAGAACTCCAGTATGCTGATGACAATGCCATCTGTGTGCATTCAGAAGACCTACAAGCCACTCTAAACCCCTTAGCAGAAGCATATGAGAAGCTCGGCCTGTCATTGAACATCGAGAAAACCAAAGTGCTCTTCCAGCAGTCACCAGCCAATCCCTCTCCAATGCCAGAGATACAGCTTAATGGTGTAACATTAGAAAATGTTGACCATTTCCGCTACCTTGGCAGCCACCTCTTCACCAAAGTCAACATCGACACCAAAATACAACACTGCCTGAGCTCTGCGAGTGCACAATTTTTCCGAATGAAGCAGAGAGTGTTTGAGAACTGGGACGTCTGTAGGGATACCAAGGTGCTTGTTTATAAAGCTATTGTCCTCCCAACCCTGCTATACGCCTGCGAGATGTGGACAGTCTACAGACGTCACATGCAACTCCCGGAATGATTCCATCAGTGCTGCCTCTGAAAAATCCTGCAAATCTCTTGAGAAGACAAGCGGACAAATGTCAGCATGCTGGAAGAAGCAAAGACCACCAGCACTGAAGTGATGGTCCTCTGCCATCAACTCCGCTGGACTGGTCACGTCGTCCGGATGCCTGACCACCGTCTCTCAAAGCAGTTGCTCTACTCTGAACTCAAGAATGGAAAACAGAATGTTGGGGGGCAGGAAAGAAGATTTAAAGATGGGCTCAAAGCCAACCTTAAAAACTCTGGCATAGACACTGAGAACTGGGAAGCCCTGGCCTGTGAGTGCTCCAGCTGGAGTTCAGCTGTGACCAGCAGTGCTGCAGAATTTGAAGAGGCACAAATGGAGGGCGAAAGAGAGAAACGTGCCAAGAGGGAGGCGCATCAAACCAACCCCGACCAGGACTGCCTTCCACCTGGAAACCAATGCCCTGACTGTGGGAGATAATGCAGATCAAGAATAGGTCTCCATAGTCACATACGGACCCACCCTAGAGGATTATCCTACTCAGATGAGGGATCGCCTAAGTAAGTAAGTTATTGCTGAGGGCAGGGGAGAGATAGAATTAAAACAATATTTTCATTTCTGTTTAGATTCTATTCAAATTATGAAAAAATCCTGGGGAACTCAGTCTGGTATCAAGATTTTTGATGCACCATTTAACTTTGAACAATAGCTGTGGGATGCAATTAAACAAGATGTGCAACATTTGCCAACCTTTCAAATTCAGCAGAGTTTTTTTTCCTCTTCAAAGAACAAGTTTGAACATCTTAATAAAATAGCATGTTTATTATCCATGAGAAAACATTTTCCTTGGTATCTAGAAAATTTAAGAGCGGAGCATTTGTTTTCCTAGGACAGCCATTAGGGGCTAGAATCCAGAGGGAATGCTTATTTGGATGATATCATCAGCCAATAAAGTCATTCTGCATTGTTTAAAATAACATTTCCTGTATGACACATAGTTTTTTGAAATGTGTGGCTCAAAAAAAAAAAAAAAGGTATGCCCCAAAACATATACTCTTAATGCAGTCCCTATCCCGGCATCATTCAGTACACACTTGTACATTTCACTGTAAGACTTTGTATGACCAGATGCACAAGGTTTTGTCCAAAAGTATGAACTATATTAATGTGACAACACATTTTGTATTTATTATATCAATCCCATAAGTGATGTCATCTATACATTCCTTGATGAGAGCATGCCTTTAAATAAATGTACAGAGACCATGAAATCACCATATGGACTGCATTACCACTGATGCAGAGGTTTGTTTTGTTTCTACATTGGTAGCATCTTATGCAGTTGTCTTCTTTACCATTCCATAAGAGCTTCTTTTGTAACCTGAAATAAAGTAGGTTTTTACACATATGCCACTCACCCATTGTTTGTGTGTGTGACATCTTGAAGACATGCAAGGAGGGTTTTTTATAGCCATGACACATTTTTCTAATTTGACATGAGGATTTCTTTCCTGGGATCCTACTGTGGTTTTCCATCAAATCACAGCTTGCAGAAG